AAAATACATATGCATTTAGAAAAATACATTTTAAAAAACGAAATGCTTGTTGTAAGAGAATTTATAATTTCAATCAACTCTACGTAAATGACATAAAATACGTTACGACTATTCCGTTAGCGCTCTATTATACGTCAGTGAACGATTTGTTCGTCGCTCAACTGATAAAGAGAAGAACACAAGAAAAACGGAGAAGAGTGCAATATACGTTGCTGAAACGAAGATTGCAAAGAAGAAGAAGTAGAAGATGACGAAGATGCTTTACGTAGCGGAGGTTATTTCCGCCAGGACCATCCAATCGTGAAACGCGCCGAGATCTACTCTTGGAGCAAGCGGAAAGGAAAAAAAGAGAGAGAAAGAGAAAAAGAAAGAGAGAGCATCAAAAGCGCGGCGTTATCGCGACTCTCGGGTCATCGGGCCGAGTAGAATCCGCCACCGAACAAACCGACGGATGTACGAACGATCGGCCTGCCGGTCGGCGGCGGAAAGAGTGGAAAATGGATAATGGTGGGGAGGGGAAAAAAAAGGAAACGCTGCAAGAAAACGGCAGGCCGAAAGAATCCACCGGATTTCCGCTCGCCGTTAAAGCCGCCTATCGAGACCAACGTGTTGCGCAACGCCCGGTACTATATGACTATATGTTCCTACTGTGTATTTCTATGTATGTGTTGTATGCGGCGCGCGCGGGTACGATAACGCACGATGGAAGTCGCAAGAGGGGAAGCGGATAGATGAATAGATAGGTTCTCCATGCGAGTTCTCCGAGGCGGTCTCTCTCCAGACTCTCTCGCGGCGCCACGGAACGGCAGAGTCAATTCTAAGAGAAGAGTAATCGAGACGTTACGTAATGACACGAACGATAATCATTAATTCGTTATCGATATCGCTCATTAAATCATATTTATGGGTAAACGCGATTGCTCCCATAAATCGTAGATCCGACTTCGATCTCTGATAGAAAAAAGATATATGCCCATAATTGTAACTATAGACGATTAAACATCAAAGACATATCAAAACAGTGATAATCCAATCCTTTAGGTTAATAACCTATTTTATTATTCTTCATTTTTACAATATATGTCAAAATGTAGATCAATTCATTTCTGTGAGTTTCAAATGAACAACGCTAATATTAACATATCCTTGTAGTAAATAATAAACTAAATTTGAATTAAATTTAATATATTTTCTTAAATTAAATTGATTTCATTTAAATTAATTCCATTTTCTTGATTTAATTCCATTATTTTAGTTAAATAATAACGATTTATTAAGGAGAAATAGTGGCAATCTATATATTGAGAAAAATGTTGTCTAGTTGAAAATGGATAAACCTCAGAAGTTTCTAATTATATCATTTTTATAATTCTGATTTTAATTCTTATTTCAAAAAATTTTAATTGGTATATTTTTAATCATATTCTAATTAATCCAATCAAACATTTTTCTCAATATAGAAATGATTAAAAATAATTCGAATTGGGCATAACTTGACATTATAAATTTAATAATATAAAACAAAAAAGGCACGAGGGGATGTTTGTAACGATACAAAGCTCGCGACGAGTCACGATTGATGGACGGAGCATCAATGTTGCAAAATTGGCATACGAATCTTCGTGCGTGGCTCGAGAGCCCCGTGAGTACAACTGTCTCTCTTGCCAAATGTATCGCGAGCTGAAAATCCGCTCGACGCTTGCGAGATCACGTTCTTCCGTCCAACGTTTAAGCCGTGTCGTTTCCTTTCGCGACGTGATATCGACGCAAAACCTCCGTCCCGCCAACTACGTGCATCCGGTCGCAGCGATCGTTCGACAAAAGGAAGGCGCGAGCCTTCACAAACTGACCTGCGCTAACTGGAGTTTCGTGAGACTCGATGAACGCATGGGATAATCGTAAGGTCATCGTCGAGAAGACACGTTCTCGCGGTAATTCACTCATTGACGATTGGACAATACGGGCGGAAGTAATTTTCATGGTAAATCCGGAGTTTTCCACCGGCCGTTTTGTTTGCGAAGCTTGGCAAGACCATGTGCGATCTCGGAGTATTGTAGTCTAATAATCGGTATCCTCATAGCCGATTATACCTATTATTTCTTAAGCTCAGAAATTTCAAAAAAAGGTTGTTCTAAAGTCCTTGCTTTAAAGTCCGTACCTATTCCAAAGAAAGAAGTCGAAGGAGAAGAGGTAAAAAATACCTGAGCATAAGTTTATACAATAAATTGTAACATGTTTCCTTTTAACACTACGACAAAGAGAACTAAAAATTTTATATAGGACTCTTTCTTTCCCATAAATGCATAGGATGAATGAAATTAGAACAAACTAAGTCTCGGATTCAAGTCAATCCTAAAAAAATATAGTAGTTGTCATGCCGTGCTCATCTTTCGACACCGGATACGACGTCAAGCTTGTCTCTTGTGGAAAGACGATCAGTCATTTGAAATCTGTGTGTCGTTCTTTCGAAGGACAAAAACACGCGTTGCGCAAAATTGTGAATTCATTCCTGGTGAGCGCTAGCGCGAGGCAAAAAGAGTCCGCCAGAAAACGTTGAGAAATACAACGTTAAAAGTCCGCAATACGAGAGTACTGCTGTACCGAGCTGAGTAGTATCTTTCGAGCTTGATGTCCCGCGGAGAATATCGCGTGGGCTCAGACACGTGGTCGGAGTCGCGCAAAGATCCGGAATGTTCGTTGCTTCCCTTCATGCGAGAGTAATCGCGCACAACTTGACGTTCATGGCTTTTACAAATCTCAGTTTATGTGTCGTACTCAATTTTATTGAAGTATCTAAAAATTTAGCTACATAGAGATACAGAACTGGAAATACTTTTGTTGAACTTCAAATTATCTAGGAATCTCAAGTATGATGAGTGAGAGAACCATGGCACACAAAAGACTTAAGCAGTTAGGAAATCAACATGTTGGATTGGCTATTCCTTATGTCAGAATAGCCTTACGGTTTCTACTGTGATTGGCTAACTCGTTTAATACTTGAAGTTTTTTGTGTTCAATGCTGCAAAAAGTTTTGAAATTCCTTAGCAACCAGAGTATTCTACTTAGTTCAACGAAATTATTTGCAGATCTTTTGCATAGCTGATTTTTAGAAATTTCAGCAAAACTGTTTTTTTGTAAAAGAAAAGAAATAGATTTCTGAATGGTGAAAGGAATAAGACTGATAGTATAATATAAATATAATAAATGGTACAATTTATGGGCAGCTTTCATAATTTAAATGATAAATAATTATGCTATTGTATTTAAATGCAAACAAGTATTCAAGTATATAATTCGAAAAAATAAACGAATTTTTTTTCTAATTCATTCTTGAGTTACACATCTTGCTATAAAAGTTAAGAACATTTTTCATAAGCCATTCCATTTTTATATCAAAAGAGGACGCTTTAATTATGAATTCTGTTTTGAGAGATCTCTTCAAGATCTCTATAAAATAATAGATCTCCTTCTTCTTGGAACAAATAAATCATAAGATACCGAGAAAAATGTCTGAAAAGAAAGGGCTGAAAAATATCGCACGGAGCAGTGCCAAGCCGAGCCGAACCGAGCTGACCTAAGTCGCATGGTGATAGAGCTAGCCGCACGTTAAATCATCGATCGCGGTGCGTGGGTGCGCCACCGCGATGCCGATGGGAAAATACATTTCGGATTTTTGTCTGTTGGGAATTTGCGTGCCACTAATGGCATCGTCGACGCCTACGGGATCCGAGGCTAGGCAACCTGCAACGTTTCGCGCGCGCTACCGCGTAAGGCGAGGCCAGAGAGGCCGGCTACCCACCCGGTTCCTCCTACGGGAAAGAACAAGAAGAAAGAAAAGGATAGACCGAGAAAGAGAAAGAGAGACGGACTTTCTTCGGTCAGTCGGATCCACCTACAGGAGCGAGGGAGAGCGGAATCGAGAATGCTGGCTCGGAGCGGTTTAATATGTCCGCCCGCTCGATCGATGCGATCAATCGACCAACTGAATCGCCGTATTTCCGCCGAACGAGTTCACCTACGCGCGCGCCGATAGTTCTCAGTTACCGCTCTCCACTCCGATCCGCAGGACTGGTCCAGCCTTCTCTCAGCGGTCGCCGTACAGGTCCTGCATACATACAGATCAGTCTTCGTTTCTCTCTTTCTCTTTCCCATTCATCCTTCCGTTTCGCGGATGCACGGATTCAATTTTCATCGCAAGCCTTCGGCATAAATTTCATTAATCTCTTTGGCCATCGCGATTATATTATACGTCCAGACCATCGTGATTACTTTTGATGTAACATGCCGATGACAAGTCGCACCGGTTTTGCGCATAAAAACTTCGTCTTATTCTCGCGGAGAATGAAATACTCTAGTTTGCGACACCTCGTAAAGTCCCCTTAAGTAAAGTCTTTGATAATTTTTTCCCGTAATTCATAGATGAAAAAATGATCTAGAATGTTAAGTTTCCTATTACGTTAGTAGTAAACATGCGCAAATATCAGAAATATGCCATTCTTATGTACTTTATAGTCTTAAAGTCTTATGGCATACAAAAAAAAAACATAAAGTACACGGAAAGAATGATTTTTTGCTGAAATATATGAAATTTTAGCTGAAACAGATCTGAAAATAATTTTGTTGTGCCATCAAAATAATTATGTAGGAATCTCAAGCATGATGAGCAGTGTTGCAAAAAGTTTTAACATTGTAGCAACAAGTTTAAACGTTCTATGTAATTATTTTGATGATCCGACATTTTCAGATCTGTATCTAAATCTGTATCTATTTAAATTTTTAGATACTCTAGCAAAATCGATCTTTCCATAATATTAAAAGTAATATTAAAAGAACTTCTTTGATCGAAAAATATCATTGATGCTTGACGTGGAGATTATCGATCTACGCAGCGATACATTTATATTCTAATAATGTGAACAACACGAAGAGACGTATGTACATTGCAATTCGCGATAGAGTTTCAGGGGAAGAGAGGAAGAAGAAATGTAAAGTCAACTCACGTCCTTGCTCGGGACGCAGAGCGGCGTTCCTTCCTTGACAATTCCAGCCTCGACCATCACGCCGATCACGATCGGATCCCTCGAGTTGAATACGTACTGAAATTCAAACGGGCCCACGTTTAAAAAGTTCCGAGTTCGAAGATCGCCGACGACGTCGGCGTAAATCCCGCTTGTTTATCGCGCATCCATTTCAATTCTTGCAAAGGCGAATACGCTCGCATATAACTCACCTGCGGTAAGATCTTCAACTTGCACGGAAACACGGCTATGTGCTTGTTCTCGTCCCGTTTACGCTGCTTCAGTTCCTCTCTATAATTGGTAAATTTGTCGAACAAATGATAAATAATATCAGCTTGGAAGATCTTGACGCCCAGTGAATCCGCTAGCTCCTGTGCGTCCCTCTCAATTTTCACATCAAAAGCAAGAATTGTAGCGTACCTGCGGATAAATTAAATAATGACTAATTAATTCTTATAGATAGCTATTTGTCACGCTTTTTGAAAATTTGAAATATTAAGAAAATATAAAATTTCTTCCATTAAAAGTTGTTAAAAAACTTTAACCTAATCTACATTATATTTTTTTATACTTCCTATTTCTTGCTTTTTGGCTCATGCCTTTTTCCTTTGCGATCATTTTATCAATCGCATTCCTTTCCACGTTTTTTGTGGAAAGTTTTTTTTCTCGTCCGAAGTCCGTCAACTTTTATTTCGGGCGAGAAAAAATGAAAAACTGAGTAAAAGATAAAAAGTAAAAAGAAACAGGGAACAAAGAACACATTGTAAATTAGACTTTAGAAGTCATTAAAACTTTTAATTTTTTGAGTTCTCCAAAAAATAAAAAAGTTAAAACAAATATTAGTTCAGAAGAGAATTTTACTGTCGAGATGTACTCACTGGCTATCGTGCTCCAACATGATAGAAGCTTTCATGACGTCTTTCTTGACGACTGGTCCGATACGAATTCCGGAGTACTGCAAACAAAAGCAAAAATATTGTTAAAGGAGAGAAATGCAAAAAAGATACGAAATAGCATCGCGAGCGTGCGAGTGCAGTTCGACATTACGCAAGTCGCCCCGATTTCGCTCGACAGCGTGCAATGACTGTCTCTCTCATCTTGGCAACATTATTACACAGTGTCTTGCGTTTATGTTATTTCGCACATTGTTACGTAATGCGGGGGGAGGGGAGGGGGAGGATCGAGTATAACGATTGCTGTAACAATCTAACTGCCGGATTCGCACTTGTCATCTCTTTAACGCGAACCAGTTTCTTACGGGAAACGTAACTTTTCATCGATGCTTTTCGTCACGCGTGACCACGCAGATGCGCAAAAAGTGCCTCGCAATCTATTTGCTTGGATGAGAAATAACCATTTCGAGGATAAACGGAGAAGTCACGAGTAGTCGCTGTCAAACGAATGATATATCAAATCTCAGTTCAGCTACTCTCTAAATTCTTTGGAGTGAAATCTCACTCTACAGAATAAAAGGAATTAAAGCCAGTCTTGAAAAAGAATGACTCAATCTATAAGAGTGAGATTTCATTCTTCAGAGTGACAATTCGTTCTAAAAGTTTCAGAGAGTATAAATAAATAGACATCTCAAAAAATTAATATTGTTATAACATTTTTCGACAATGAAACATAACATTTAAATATAAAATAATCGCAAATGTAAATTGATCACAAGAGTAAGAATATAAATATTAATAAATATAAATCTTAATAATTACTTTCCATCAATAATGGTAACGCATTCGTAACGCCGGTAGGCGATGTGCGATGCGTTTCGCAATCCGTTTGGATCACCTACGCTCAGCTACCGGCGACCGAATCTCTGGAATCATTGCCACCGAAACGCCACAAATCCCGCGGGTCTTTCCATGTATACGAAGCGCGTGTATATACGACTAGGCAAAAATAACCTATGACGCATGCATGCCGCCCGGATTCGGCCGGACGATGCAACGAGACGGGACGCGACACGAGACGCGCGACGCAACACGTTGAAATAAACGCGCGCGACGCAGCGATGCAGTTGCAAACAAGCTGTTTCGCGGCTTTACCGAGAAAAGCCACTCCGTGGTCGAGGAGCACCGCGCACTGTAGTCGGGATTAAAGCCGACCGAAGCAGAACGAGCTTGTCGTCGTAACGTTACAGGATACACAAGAAGACGTTCCGCTTCTACCGAGAGATATCTTCAGAAATATCCGTCAAAGATCTATGAAGATCTCTCAGTAGATCCGACAGACGTTTTACGTAAATCCCTTAAACCGCATGTAAATTAATGAGATTCTTAGTAATTGTATTCTTGATACTTTTGCTATAATTTAACATACAAAATTAATTCTGAATTCTGAACTCCGGTAGGAAAAGAACACTTATACCTAAGTTAATTAAAGATGTATTACACGTATTTCTTTAACAAGACATGCAAACATTACAGATTTTTGTATATTGTATTTGAAAGTAATACAAAAAGTTTGACGGTGATTCAAAATCTAGATAAAAAATTATCTCAATAAGTTTTTCATTTAAAATTTCTGTAAAATTGCATTGTTAGATATTATAAATATTTATTGAATTTAATTATTTGTTTAAATATATATATATAGAGACTTCATTCAATTATTTCATATTGTAACATTTATTTTTATACAGAAAGTATAAATTTTCAATTCCAATCACTTTTTATAGAGAGAAATTACATACGATATATATCCTTAAAAAAATATTTATATTTATAACTAACTTGAGAGCTAATTATTACGATTAGAACTGATTAGATAATACTAATCATAAGAGTAAAAAAAACATATTTTCATTCTTTCTTTGACCAATTAATGATTCTATCAATAACTGATATATTACAATATGTATATCATGATATGTAATTTCCTGTTACCATATCGTAACAAGATACCATGTTATTTTTCACATTCGAGATAAATAATATCAAATATCGCAATTAAACACTCATATCTTTTAAAATAAAGCTAAAGAAGCAATTAATTAGAGCATATACGAGTTTATTTCCAATAATTGCCACATTATATTGCTGTATATTACATTCGTTCTCAATCATCAGCCTTCTGATCCTCGCTGATTATACTCGCGCGTCTGCTTTCCGGTTTCGAAACGGATATCGGTTACCCGCTGCCGATGTGGTCAATATCTATAACACGATACTTCTGATATACGGGGATTAATTGCTGCGTTAAGAGAACTGCGATAGAGTTAAACACATTATAAGTATAGTGTAACTTTCAGATTTTATCTTGCATCGCGCGTTCCTCTTTTACTATTCATTACTCCGGTACTTGTGCACGTAAACAAGATCATTATACATACGAACTCTTTGTCCAAATACTAAAATACTAAATGTTTCTGCACTGAAATTTAATAAAGTCAATAAATATGTTGAGATTGAATAATTGAGAGTTAAGTATATTAAAATTTATATAAATTATCGAAAGAAATAATTTTGCAAATTATTTCTTTTTGTAGAATAATAATTTTTTTCGTCCCCATTTCTTTCACAATAAAAGGATAGATAACAAAATTTCCGAATTTATTAATATTTTAATCTATATAAGCACTTTATAATAATTTTACATTTTAAATACATGCCCCCCCCCTCTCTCTCTCTCTCTCTCTCTCTCTCTCTCTCTCTCTCTCTCTCTTTCTCTCTTCCTTATTTTCATTTCGAGTTCCTCGTGAACCATTTACCACGATTGTAACGATAATTATTCTCGCAGGTATACAGACCGTGCACAAATGGCAATTCCTATTTACGGGCCAATTCTCAAGCTAATACCAAGCGGTTGATGGAAGCGGATGATCGAGGGGAAACATGAAGTAGAGACAAACGTACGAACGGATGAACGAACGAGCGGAAGATGATACGTTCCCGAGGACTTTCCGAGATAAACATGTTTTAGAACTTCCGGCGCGCGTCGCATTCCGATCCTTACATCAGATACACGATGTCAATATATTTTTCCCTCAGTTCTATTTACTACGTGTTGCAGGATACATTTGCAGCTTTGTGGAATGTTCAAGGTGAAGAATAAAATATTGAGCAAAAATTGTAATTAATTCCATAATGCCTGGACATCGTGCAATATCCAATAAATAGATAGATTATTAAATTGTTAATAATCATTAACAATAGTAACAATGCTTACAATAATTAAATCGATTTTTTATATTCATCAAATTATCATCATTTGGAACAAATTATACAGTGGCTTAAATTTCGATATATAATTATCGCTACTTGAAACAAATTAAAGTTTATCCAACACAAATCGCTACGAGGTCTCGACGGTTTCTTTTTTGTACACGATCAAAATTCGTAGCAAGTCACGAGTTGACGATACTTCGCTTTGGAGGAACGGATGCTCTCGAAGAAGAGGAAGCGGGAGGAAGGGAGGCGGACAGGAGGCAAGAGAGGTGCCGCTGGAAAAGAAAAAAAGAAAAAGAAGTCGAGTACGGCGGAGAGGGGGAGGAAGGAGAGAGGAAGAAGGAGAGGAAAGACGAGACGAAAGAAGGAGAGAGATCTAGTACGACGAGAAAAGGCGGACACGGCAGATGTTGCCGGCGAAAGAAACGCCGCTGGTATAAGCGGGAGGAAGTTGGGAGGAAGAGTAAGACGGCGAGGAAGCGGGACGAAAGGGGCCCTGGCGCACGGCACGGGGAGGTTAAAGGAGGGCTCGGGGGATCGACACGGGGGCGACAGAGAGGGAGAGAGGTGCTTCCGGCATTTAAAACCAGCCGTCGGGGGCACGGATCCTCTTTAGCCTCTCGTCGTAACTGCGGCACGCTGCGCCGAAGAAGGAAACGCTAATTTATTAAACTCGCCTCCCGTTCCGCTCCTCCTGCATATCCTGCCCGCATAAGCGCAAGCGCGCGCGATTACCGAAGGACGAGCGTGTTGTGGCCTCGTGGCGAATTTCGGCTTTTCGCACCTTCGCGAAACCATGATCACGAGGTGATCATCAAAAAGGAGACAGTCAGAGAGAGAGAGAGAGAGAGAGAGAGAGAGAGAGAGAGAGAGAGAGAGAAAGATAGAGAGAGAGAGAGAGAGAGAAAGAGAGAGATGCGTTCCATATGCTCGATGCAATTATTTTCTAAAGAGTGTAGGAAGCACGAAGAAAAAATTATCATTATTCTCCTCGGATAATTTTTTTCTTATTGTAAAAATAAATAACGAAAGATATAAAAAGTTTATAAAAAATATATGCGTGAAAAAAAAGAATTATAGATTTGCAATAAAACAAGGAAGAATAAGTGATTAAAATAATAAAAACTTTCAGTGAATTAATCTTCGTGAAAGAGAAAACAGCAATATAATAATTTTTGCACAATCTCTCTCTCTCTCTCTCTCTCTCTCTCTCTCTCTCTCTCTCTCTCGAAATCTTTACATTAATAAAGTCCGAAATTTAATAAAAAGATATAAAAAAAGAATTATCTATAAAACAGCTCCATTAAAGTGATACCATCCACTAGGAAAATCGGCTAAAAACAGGCATTAACAGACTTTGATGAGGCGTATGTAATCCTCATTTATCTTCGACAGGGTTAATTGAAATTGAACGTGTCAATCTACAACTTTTCTTGATCGTTTCGTGAAAAACGCGCTCGCAATGCGGCGAAGCGTACACGGGCGCTCGCTCGCACGCATCCGCTCCCATGTCCCCAGCATATACAGGCCGCGCACTCATATGCCGCGGTTAGAAACAATGCGAGGAAACGAGCCATCTTTTCCTGCTGCACTGGCATCGGCGCGGAAGAGGAGCGAGCGAGCGAGCGAGCGAGCGCTGCGCTTCCGCCCGTCTGTTACGCGAACGGCCGAGTGAGCCAGGTAGCCAATCGACTCGTCTCCCTACCCGGCTAAATGCCGCAAAATTCTTCAGAATAGCAAAGGAATTCCATGTCGCCGGAAGTCCTTGCGGCAACAAAAGTTGAGA